AAGAGAATCACCTAAGCCCAAGAGCTAGAGGTTGCTGTGAGCTGTGACACCACAGCACTCTACTGAGGGCAACAAAGTGAGACACTGTCTCTAAAAAGAGAAAAAAATAAATACATACATAAATATAATTACAATTTCTGCCTTGGCACCAATAGCACAGTGGTTACGGCACTGGTTACAGCACCAGCCACATACACGAGGCTGACGGGTTCAAGCCCAGTCCCGGCCAGCTAAACAACAATGACAACTGCAACAAGAAAACAGCAGGGCATTGTGGCAGGCACCTGTAGTTACAGCTACTTGGGAGACTGAGGCAAGAGAATCGCTTAAGCCCAAGAGATGGAAGTTGTGTGAGCTGTGATGCCACGGCATTCTACCAAGGTCAACATAGTGAGACTCTGTCTCAAATAAATAAAATAAATTACAATTTCTTAACCCTGGTAACAAAATACAATATTTAATTTGTGTTAAGCATGTTTAGAGCACTTTTTTTTTTGAGACAGAGCCTCAAGCTGTCACCATGGGTAGAGTACCGTTGCATCACAGCTCACAGCAACCCCCAACTCCTGGGTTCAAGTGATTTTCCTGCCTCTAGCTCCCAAGCATCTGGGACTACAGGTGCCTGCTACAACGCCCAGCTATTTTTTGGTTGCAGCCGTCATTGTTATTTGGCAGGTCTGGGCTGGATTCAAGCCCAGCAGCTCAGGTGTATGTGGCTGGCGCCTTAGCCGCTTGAGCCACAGGCGCTGAGCCAACTTTTTTTTTTTGGTAGAGACAAGAGTCTCACTTTATCGCCCTCAGTAGAGTGCCATGGCATCACAGTTCACAGCAACCTCCAACTCCTGGGCTTAGGTAATTCTCTTGCCTCAGCCTCCTGAGTAGCTGGGACTATAGACGTCCACCACAACACCCGGCTATTTTTTTTGTTGTTGCAGTTTGGCCGGGGCTGGGTTTGAACCTGCCACCCTTGGTATACGGGGCCAGTGCCCTACTTGCTGAGCCACAGGCGCCGCCTCCAAACTTTTTATTATGTGTTTTCCCAGTCTTCTGCCAGTTTAGACTCAAACAACTTCTCCAATTAAAAACTTTTATACACAGCTCAGCGGTTACAGAGCCAGCCACATGCACTGAGGGTGGTGGGTTTGAACCCAGCCCAGGCCAGTTAAAACAACGACAACTGCAAAAACAAAAATAGCCAGGTGTTGTGGCGGGAACCTATAGTCCCAGCTACTTGGGAGGCTGAGGCAGGAAAATCGCTTATGCCCTACCAAGGGCAACAGAGTGAGACTCTGCCTCAAATAAATAAATAAATAAAAATAAAAACTTCTATTCAAGAGTTAAAACTTAGAAATAGGCTCGGCGCCTGTGGCTCAAGCGGCTAAGGC